TACTACCTGATGTTAAATAATAAAACTTTTCATATCTGTTAGCAGTCAGTAATTGGAGAGTGTGACTCCACTGTCTTTTATCAGGTACCCCTTCTTCTTCTACTACTTCATCTTCTTATTCTTTTTGTTCTTCTTGGGCAAGTGGGAGGAAATGTCAAACATATTTGTTTTGAATTCATGATCGTTGTCGCTGGACTATTTTCTGGAAGGGATGCTAATATGTTTTTGGTTCTTGATTGTAGTTCGTTGTTTTGGTTGCTGGGAGAGAATAATAAGAAACAATAATCAATTTTTGTTGGGAAAAGATGTTAGATTGTTTGCTAGGAGGAAATGATAAGAAAAGATGTCAGATTCTTACATGTCACTGAATTGTTCTCAATTTCTCTAGGGTTTTCTGTGGATAGCAATGTATTGGAGAAGAAACAATGGCATCTGTGTCGATTAGCATCACCAGCCTCGTCGGCATCTGCGTTTGGAAGCTCGAATTTTACATCGTCAACTCCATCAATGGTGGCATTGATGTGTATGGAGCTATGGCATGCGTGTGTTGGATCATTAATTTCTCTGCCGAAGATGTAAGTATACCTATCTCTTGGTTACTTGGAACATCTCTCTAAGTATCCGTCCATAGCTTTCTCTTCTTAGTGCCAATTTTGTTGAAAATTTGGTTCATGAGTGAACTTAAATTTCAAGTAACACTCTGATATGTTCGTGATTTTCTCAAGCAAACAGTGATCTTATAGTGTTTATTCTCTGTGATATGAAGGTGAGGCGACCAGATAATGGCAGCAAAACATTGAGTGAACTTAAATTTCAGGTAACACTCTGTTCATATGAGATCACTGACCTCATCCTTTTTCTTGGCATTTGGTATTGACTTGTTTCTTGCCACTGCGGATAGAAGATTACTTGGATGTGGCTATCCTGATCCAATGAGCGTTATGGCACCTGTATTGGAATTATAATTACGCAGACTTGTACTACTTTGTGTTTCTTCTTACATCTACATAATCTGTATTTTTCTTGATAAGCTGACCTAATGTTCGTTTCTGTTGTAAATATGAGATTATGTCTTGAGTTCTCTATGACTAGATCTGTTATATTACATTTTTATGTCATGGGATTTAATTGCATTATTAACTAACTCCATCGTTATGAATTGTCAACACACTTTTGTGATACGTTGTGATTTCCTTTAGTGAACTGTATGTCCCAAAAGTTTGTGGAACTGTGATTTTGGATCTTTTCTTGACAAATTCTTATGTGGATATTTGTAATACCCATGGACTAAGCAGTTAGTTTCTGAACACCAGAATAGTATTTCCTCATCATGATCGTTGTTTGGTAGAGTGTATAAGTAATTCTTGTATTAGTTATGTTGAAATTATTTCTTATGCATTTTTAAGCCGGCTAGGCAATGGCATGTCTCCGCCATCCTCCCCTCGTTTCCTTCATGCCCGGAATAAGGACTCACCTCCCATCTCCATGGATTTAATTGAAGTGGATTTTCATATTTGGTAGGATTTAAGTGCACAACTTGAGATTACACCATAATTTCCCAACAAGCTGGAATGGTATATCCTGCATCACAAATGATTTTTGTTATGTGACATGTTATATAAAGACATAATCAAGAAAAATAACTTTGTTTGGTCATGTTTCTTATTTAATTATCTTTTTTGGCTCCTCGTAGGGTTACTGATACTGGTTTCGGAGTGAAAGGGTTACATTATGATGGTAGCTTGTTTTGTGTTGGGAACTTGCTAATGTCTTGATAACCCAAAAAACTTTCGGAGGTTATTTTTGGTCCTGATTATATAGAGACTTTTGTTTCCTTTATTTCTAGTAACGTACTAGAAGTTGGTTAGACATGGAAAAACTATTAATAGATATATATATATTGAACTAGCCAATTGAAATGGTTCAGTCTGGTTTAGCTTGTGGTCGATTAGAGTTAAGGATGACGATACCTAGTATCTCAGTGGATGACCAAAAAGTGACAGCAGGGTGCAAGAATGTGATATTCCTCTTTAAGTGTCCAATTGCTTAAAAAGGGAAGTTCTATCATATGTCAAACAAGAACAATAATTACATGGATCTAACTTTTTGCATTATCATATGCAACTTTTCCTTATAAGGGTCTGCAAAGCTAAAAATTTACTCATATCTTCACTTGCTCCATATAAAAGAGTATAACTCTCATTTTATAACTTAGCCAGGTCAAAGTGAGAAATTTTTTGTGGGGTAAAGGAAGTAGTTGTCCAGAACTCTTTTATTACATATGTTTGGACATTTTGTTGCGTCACAAAGTCCAACTCTTTAGTTATATTGCCTGGACGTCATTTATGAAAGGTCTTTCCCCTTAAAAAGACCCAATTGTTTCCTTTTACAGTTTGGTTATACAGTCTCATCTGACATGACATTGGTATGTGGCATGCAACTTATCTATCTTCCAGACAGTGCGACCAGTTCCAGGTGAGTAGTAGTGGGTCTATTGTTGAATAATACTATGCTCAAGTCAATTTGATCTCATTGAAGTAGATGATGAGTTTTTGAACTATTGTAGAAGTTTGAAGACATTATGTTTGATTTTGTGAAATATATTCATTGCTAGAATATATTGAACTATTGTAAGAGTACATTTTGAACTATTGTGTACACATATGTAGAATATTGCTTTATAAGTATTTGCATGTACACAAGACATACTATCTTTTGAAGTTTATTGCAAATCTAAATATTTAAATTACTTATTAGCCAATTTAATGCTTGAGATTATTTATTGCAAAACAATATTGGTGTTTTTTAATTAGAAATTGTGGCATATAAATATTTTATAGCCAAAATAGTATTACT